GACATAGTGAAAATCTCAGGCTTGTTAATGAGCGATCCCACCAGACAGTGGATATCTCAGGCTAGTTAATGAGAGATGCCATGAGACATAGTGGATAACTCAATCATAGTTAATAAGCGATCCCACGAGACAGTGGATATCTCAGGCTAGTTAATGAGAGATGCCGTGAGACATAGTGGATATCTAAGGCTAGTTAATGAGCGATCCCACGAGACAGTGGATATCTCAGGCTAGTTAATGAGAGATGCCATGAGACATAGTGGATATCTCAGGCTAGTAAATGAGAGATCCCACCAGACAGTGGATATCTTATGCTAGTTAATGAGAGATGCCATGAGGCATAGTGGATATCTCATGCTTGTTAATGAGCGATCCCACCAAACAGTGGATATCTCAGGCTAGTTAATGAGAGATGCCATGAGACATAGTGGATATCTCATGCTAGTTAATGAGAGATGCCATGAGACATAGTGGATATCTCAGGCTAGTAAATGAGAGATCCCACGAGACAGTGGATATCTCAGGCTAGTTAATGAGAGATGTCATGAGGCATAGTGGATATCTCATGCTAGTTAATGAGAGATCCCACGAGACTGGATATCTCAGGCTAGTTAATGAGAGATGTCATGAGGCATAGTGGATATCTCAGGCTAGTTAATGAGAGATCCCACGAGACAGTGGATATCTCAGGCTAGTTAATGAGAGATACCATGAGACATAGTGGATATCTCATGCTAGTTAATGAGAGATTTCATGAGACATAGTGGATATCTCAGGCTAGTTAATGAGATATGCCGTGAGACATATTGGATATCTCATGCTAGTTAATGAGAGATCCCACCAAACAGTGGATATCTCAGGCTAGTTAATGAGCGATCCCACGAGACAGTGGATATCTCAGGCTAGTTAATGAGAGATGCCATGAGACATAGTGGATAACTCAATCATAGTTAATAAGCGATCCCACCAGACAGTGGATATCTCAGGTTAGTTAATGAGAGATGCCATGAGACATAGTGGATATCTCAGGTTAGTAAATGAGAGATCCCACGAGACAGTGGATATCTCAGGCTAGTTAATGAGAGATGTCATTAGGCATAGTGGATATCTCATGCTAGTTAATGAGAGATCCCACGAGACAGTGGATATCTCAGGCTAGTTAATGAGAGATGTCATGAGGCATAGTGGATATCTCAGGCTAGTTAATGAGAGATCCCACGAGACAGTGGATATCTCAGGCTAGTAAATGAGAGATACCATGAGACAAAGTAGATATCCCAGACATTTTATACGTAGGTGATAAGACATTTTTGGTGGTGGTGCAGTAAAACTGAACGCATCGTTTATTGGATGCTGACCGTTGCCTGTCTTGAGCTCCCTGTACACAGATAGTCATGCTTATCTACGACTCTCACCAGTGGAAGTGAAGCGTAAGTTAAGATGTGCATTCTTTAAACGTGTATGAAGTATATGGTGAGTAGATTCACAGACCATGTAAAGGTAGTATATTGATATATACTATTATCTACAATCTCGTTGGTGATACCGACTCACGTCAAATAACAGATATTGTACTGCCTGAATAGATATGCAATGAAATGTTCACGACCCGCGGAACAGCGAGTCGGCCTCAACATGCCATAGAAAAGTCTCGGACAGACATTCATTTGGCACTCCTCTTGCGTGCGACGTTTAAGCCATTGTCAGTATAATTGTACGTTTTACTGTGAAAGGAAACGCAATATTAAACTACTTTACAATTGTATACTGGAGATAATTACTGGTTTAGAATACACTTCAGCCCTGCCGAGAGGAAGATGATATATATCATGACGTTGTGTTGGTGTAGGGTCGTGCTTGCATTCACCATGGCCTGTTTGGTGCAGCTCGTTCTCCGTCATCATTGCTTCAATTCCTTCTCAACATTGGGACAGGTTCATTAAGGTGAAACGTTTCACTCAGTAGGCCGGCCGTCATGACAGACTTCACAACCATCATTGTTTGATGACAGTAGTCGAATACTTTACTTAAACTACCCAGTTTAACTCAAACGCTTTACCTGAACTGCCCAGTTTAACTCGAACCCTTTACCTGAACTGCCCAGTTTAACTCGAACCCTTTACCTGAACTGCCCAGTTTAACTCCAACCCTTTACCTGAACTGCCCAGTTTAACTCCAACCCTTTACCTGAACTGCCCAGTTTAACTCCAACCCTTTACCTGAACTGCCAAGTTTAACTCGAACCCTTTACCTGAACTGCCCAGTTTAACTCGAACCCTTTACCTGAACTGCCCAGTTTAACTCCAACCCTTTACCTGAACTGCCCAGTTTAACTCCAACCCTTTACCTGAACTGCCCAGTTTAACTCCATCCCTTTACCTGAACTGTCCAGTTAAACTCCATCCCTTTACCTGAACTGCACAGTTAAACTCCAAGGCCCAGATTTTCGAAGCTCTCTTAGCGCTAAGATTGTCGTAAGTGCCATACATTAACATTAACTTACGACTATCTTAGCGCTGAGAGAGCTTCGAAAATCTAGACCCAACCATTGACCTGAACTGCCCAGTGTAACTCCAACCCTTGACCTAAACTGCCCAGTTTAACTCGAACCCTTTACCTGAACTGCCGAGTTTAACTCGAACCCTTTACCTGAACTGCCCAGTTTAACTCGAACCCTTTACCTGAACTGCCCAGTTTAACTCGAACCCTTTACCTGAACTGCCCAGTTTAACTCGAATCCTTTACCTGAACTGCCCAGTTTAACTCGAACCCTTTACCTGAACTGCCCAGTTTTACTCCAACCCTTGACCTCAACTGCCCAGTTAAACTTCAACTCTTTACCTGAACTGCCCAGTGTAACTCCATCCCTTTACCTGAACTGCCCAGTTTAACTCCAACCCTTTTCCTGAACTGCCGAGTTTAACTCGAACCCTTTACCTGAACTGCCCAGTTTAACTCGAACTCTTTACCTGAACTGCCCAGTTTAACTCGAACCCTTTACCTGAACTGCCCAGTTTAACTCGAATCCTTTACCTGAACTGCCCAGTTTAACTCGAACCCTTTACCTGAACTGCCCAGTTTTACTCCAACCCTTTACCTGAACTGCCCAGTTAAACTTCAACTCTTTACCTGAACTGCCCAGTGTAACTCCATCCCTTTACCTGAACTGCCCAGTTTAACTCCAACCCTTTACCTGAACTGCACAGTTAAACTCCAAGGCCCAGATTTTCGAAGCTCTCTTAGCGCTAAGATTGTCGTAAGTGCCATACATTAACATTAACTTACGACTATTTTAGCGCTGAGAGAGCTTCGAAAATCTAGGCCCAACCCTTGACCTGAACTGCCAAGTTTAACTCAAACCATTTATCTGAACTGCCCAGTTTAACTCGAACCAATTATCTGAACTGCCCAGTTTAACTCGAACATTTTACCTGAACTGCCCAGCGTAATTCGAACCCTTCATATGAGTTGGCCAGTGTAGTATAAAGTCTTTGTTCTTGTAGCACAGACCCCACATAGCGACTGTAGCCGGCGCAACAACCACCATGTCTATCTCCATACAAGGACATATAGAACCACAGGACAGTTAGTACACCACAGTGCATATACTTGACCGTAATGTCAATACCACATCACAGTGCATATACTTGACCGTAATGTCAATATCACATCACAGTGCATATGTCAAACCGTAATGTCAATATCACATCACAGTGCATATGTCAAACCGTAATGTCAATATCACATCACAGTGCATATACTTGACCGTAATGTCAATATCACATCACAGTGCATATACTTGACCGTAATGTCAATATCATATCACAGTGCATATGTCAAACCATAATGTCAATATCACATCACAGTGCATATGTCAAACCGTAATGTCAATATCACATCACAGTGCATATGTCAAACCGTAATGTCAATACACATCACAGTACATATGTCAAACCGTAATGTCAACATCACATCACAGTGCATATGTCAAACCGTAATGTCAATATCACATCACAGTGCATATGTCAAACCATAATGTCAATATCACATCACAGTGCATGTGTTCGACTGTATTGTCAATATCACATCACAGTGCATGTGTTCGACCGTATTGTCAATATCACATCACAGTGCATATGTTAAACCATAATGTCAATATCACATCACAGTGCATGTGTTCGACCGTATTGTCAATATCACATCACAGTGCATGTGTTCGACCGTATTGTCAATATCACATCACAGTGCATATGTCAAACCATAATGTCAATATCACGTCACAGTGCATGTGTTCGACCGTATTGTCAATATCACATCACAGTGCATATGTCAAACCATAATGTCAATATCACATCACAGTGCATGTGTTCGACTGTATTGTCAATATCACATCACAGTGCATATGTTAAACCATAATGCCAACATCACATCACAGTGCATATGTCAAACCATAATGTCAATATCACGTCACAGTGCATGTGTTCGACCGTATTGTCAATATCACACCACAGTGCATATGTCAAACCATAATGTCAATATCACGTCACAGTGCATGTGTTCGACCGTATTGTCAATATCACATCACAGTGCATATGTCAAACCGTAATGTCAATATCACGTCACAGTGCATGTGTTCGACCGTATTGTCAATATCACATCACAGTGCATTTGTCAAACCGTAATGTCAATATCACATCACAGTGCATGTGTTCCACCGTATTGTCAATATCACATCACAGTGCATTTGTCAAACCGTAATGTCAATATCACATCACAGTGCATGTGTTCCACCGTATTGTCAGATAGTGCCTAGTTGTAGTTACCTAAGAATTTAACCATCCATGGGCATTTATTTCATTCAGTACATTGTGGCCATAACCAAGGTGCCACCAGCTTGTTACTCTGAGTCAGTGTGTTGTGTACAATATTTCTTGCAATGCTATTTTGTGTGTTATATTGTTATATATTGTTTTTATTAAATAAATTGTTTATTGTTTCAGCTAGCAGGGAAGCGGCATTCACGCACGCAATATCTGCCGCAGGTGTCGTCCACGCCGTCAGCAGGTCGTGCCGGGAGGGCGAGTTGGCGAGCTGTGGTTGCAGCCGGGCCAGGAGGCCAAAAGACTTGAATCGAGATTGGATTTGGGGTGGCTGTGGAGACAATATAGAATATGGCTATAGATTTGCTAAAGCCTTCGTTGATGTTCGAGAGAAGGAGAAGAATCATCCTCGGCATTCTAGAGATCTTGCCCGGATGATAATGAATTTGCATAATAACGAGGCCGGGAGGAAGGTAAGGAGTATTACTTGTCTTATAGGGGACATAGCGGGAAATAAACAACATTGTTATTCTTGGAGACTTACAGATGATTACTTGTCTTATAGGGGACATAGCGGGAAATAAACAACATTGGTATTCTTGGAGACTTACAGATGATTACTTGTCTGTATGTTGTCACGTAATTAACACCATTGTTGGCCTTAGAGGGTTACAGGTGATTACTGTATGTTGTCAAGTAATTAACACCATTGTTGGCCTTAGAGGGTTACAGGTGATTACTGTATGTTGTCCAGAAATGACTAACAATGTTGTGTTTAAATAGTTACATTTGATTACAGTCTCTATGTTGTCAGGTATTTAACACAGTGCTAGTTTAAGATATTTCCAGAAGGTCACCCAAAAGGGTTGGTGTGTACGTGAGTTCTTCTCCCAAGTTGTATGTATCGTGGTTTTACAAGAACGTCAGTGAAGCACACACTGCGCAACATTTAATTATTTCAACATATACGTGAGATTCTAAAACATAAAGTAAGAATCACACGAGGATCTGTGTGCAGCGGCAGCCAAATACCCCTAGGCTGAGTCAGCAGGAATGGTTTCCACATCCGAGAAGCAGCACCCAGGATCTCACGCTGACTCTCTGGAGATTTTAAATATAATTGAAGTAAATTGACTTTCATCTAATTTGGAAATCACTTTCTGGAAAATGAAACTTTGCATTATCTCATTAAGAACTTTAGTTGTTTGGGTTGTAGACCCCGAGTTCACCTTGTTCGAAACCGTAACCACTGGATGAGACAAAACAACATTACACTGGCGGTTCCAGGACACGAATGGAACTCACTTTTTTCCTTGTTTTTCTGCATCTCTGACATTCAAGAAACACGTGTTGTACAGCACCTCCTATTCCCTCCGGGGGAGCTTTCCCTAGAGCTATGGCGAATTTACGAATACTTATCCCATTTGGAAACAAATCGTTGTCATGTGTAGATCAGTAAATTGGAGCGGCGAAGGGCTATAAATGTGTAGTAAGTGCCCAAATTGCACCTAGATGAGCCAAAACCCATTGAAAAGTTGGAATGCTGAAACGAAACGTCCTTCTTTAAGTATATATTATCTACGACCCCATAAAAAGTAAATCAAGACGCAGAACAAGGAGGAACAGAATTACTTGTGGAAATGATAGCAATCGCATTTCTCGCTGTTTTATGTAGAAAACAGACAGGCATTTTGCCCCGTGGGGAAATTCAGATTTCTTTGCCAGCCTGTAGAGAGGTCTATGGACTGAAATTTAAGATGTGGGGAAAGGGGTAAGATGGCGACAGTTTTTCAATGTGCTTTATCCATCACTGTTTACTCCTCAACTCTGAATGTTGTAGGCTACGGTTGTGATAGTTTCGCAATATATACAGATTTATTACGTGGAAGGAAAATAAGCAAACTTCAAATTCGGGATTGTTTTGTCCCTGGTAAATATCCCTCCGCCGCGGTGCTAGAGCCGCCGTCTGATCTGCAATACGTCTGGGGGTAATGAAGCGCAAGAGTGACAAAGCGGGACTCTCGAAACCTGTTGCTGCATTTGTTACAGCTGGACTCGGTTTTCCATTAAGCAACACCCCTCTTGTAAGATCAACTGCCTCGTGATTTATTGGGAAGAGACGAGCGTTGCTCGACCATAGTAGAGTAGAACTTCGAGTTCCATTTCATACCAAACACATCAAAGTTGAATAATCTCACTCCGCGAAAGTTTGTATCTTCACACAAAGGGTATTGTTATTGGTATAGGTTTTAAGGGGAGTGGAGAAATCGGAATATATTTGCTGTCAGTAATTTGTTCTCGTGTGTTCGTACAATGATGTTGTTGACAGACTACGTTAGCTTAAGCGCCGATCCTTTGAAGAAATGCGTGTGCGACAAATTTATTGTCGATTTCGAATCGATATGAAGAACGACAGGAACATATTAAATGTAGGTGGTTAACTTGGGAAATATACAATACACGTAGCGGGGCTTGTCTTGATACAACATGAATTAGTAACTTGTTTCTTGTCCCTTGGACCAAAGTCCTACACCACCGCCTGCGCCACAATGTCACTGTTCCCACATGTCACGTGTGTTATTTCGTGTCACGTGTGTTATATCGTGTCACGTGTGTTATATCATGTCACGTGTGTTATATCGTGTCACGTGTGTTATATCATGTCACGTGTGTTATATCGTGTCACGTGTGTTAAGTCGTGTCACGTGTGTTAAGTCGTGTCACGTGTGTTATATCGTGTCACGTGTGTTATCGTGTCAAGTGTGTTATATCGTGTCCTTCATCTCCCTCCAGGTCCTACATATCCCTCCAGGTCCTTCATCTCCCTACAGGTCCTTCATCTCCCTCCAGGTCCTTCACCTCCCTCCAGGTCCTACATCACCCTCCAGGTCCTACATTTCCCTCCAGGTCCTACATCACCCTACAGGTCCTTCATCTCCCTCCAGGTCCTACATCCCTCTCCAGGCCCTTCATCTCCCTCCAGGTCCTTCATCTCCCCCCAGGCCCTTCATCTCCCCCCAGGTCCTACATCACCCTCCAGGTCCTGACCCGTGAAGGTCCAGGTTAGAATATTGATCTTCAATAACCCATGCTTGTCGTAAGAGGCGACTAACGGGATCGGGTGGTCAGGCTCGCTGACTTTGTTGACAGATGTCATCGGTTACCAGTTGCGTGGATCGATGCTCATGCTGTTGATCACTGGATAGTCTGGTCCAGACTCGTTTTTTTACAGACCGCCGCCATAAAGCTTGAATATTGCTGAGTGTGGCATAAAACTAGAATCACTCACTCACTCACTCTTCACATCCCTCTCCAGGTGTTACATCTCCCTTCAGGTCCTACATCCCCATCCAGATCCATCATCTGCCTGCAGGTCCTTTATATCCCTCCAGGTCCTGCATCCCCATCAGGTCCTACATCTCCCTACAGGCTCGTCATTTGGAGTCACATTAAGCCCTGGCCACGTTCACCAGGAGTCACATTAAGCCCTGGCCACGTTCACCAGGAGTCACATTAAGCCCTAGCCACGTTCACCAGGAGTCACATTAAGCCCTGGTCACGTTCAACAGGAGTCACATTAAGCCCTGGTCACGTATAGCCGGAGTCACATTCAACCCGTGTGACATTCAGCCCGTGTAACGTTCAACCCATGTCACGTTCAGCCCGTGTGACGTTCAACCCGTGTCACGTTCAGCCCATGCCATGCTCAACCCGTGTCTCCCCGCATCTCGCCGAGGAAGCCCCTTCATTACCGACACGTGTTCTCCTTTATGATCTATGGTTGACTTGTTAAAGCTGTGCATGACGTACAGCAGTGCAATGCACACACGCCAGTACTTCAGTCTTAATGTAGGATATTCATCGTTGCCATCTCCTGCTTAAACTTATCGGAACAAATCTCAGGATGCTAATAACCCATTTCAAGGGAATATTCATGTTCAGTAGCAGTATCATATGTTGATATTTAATGTGGTTTATTATCATCTTTCATATTTTAGTTTAGGTCAGGGCCATGTAGCAACAAGCAATTTGGTTACTGAGATAGGAACGCTCTCCTGCAAGGGCTTTTGTAATGGCTTTTCCAAATCATTAATCGGTGAAACCAACGCACCATATTACAGCAATCAGCAAATGTTCATTTCCATGACAACACTGACGTCACATGGCAAGCTTTCATTAAAATGAAAAGTATCATTTCCTGAAAGTAAACCTACTAAATAGTTCCCGTGCTAATCTGGTTATGAAAGAATGTTTGAAATGAAGCTGGTTACCGGTATGGTACTGGAGTTATCACCACCTGCTGGTTAAGAGACGAATAATAAACTACTCGTCCGAGGGCCTTATCAACTACATGTTTGTAATCCTTGACAATGCTTAACTGTACCCTGTACACACCGAAGTAGCTGTGTGCTTTGTTACATCACACAAGGCTGTACTGTACCTTTCTAACATCACACAAGGCTGCACTGTACCTTTCTTACATCACACGAGGCTGTACTGTACATTTCTTTCATCACACAAGGCTGTACTGTACCTTTCTTTCATCACACAAGGCTGTACTGTACCTTTTCTACATCACACAAGGCTGTACTCCACCTTTCTTACATCACACAAGGCTGTACTGTACCTTTCTTATATCACACAAGGCTGTACTGTACCTTTCTTTCAACACACAAGGCTGTACTGTACCTTCTTACATCACACAAGGATGCACTGTACCTTCTTACATCACACAAGGCTGTACTGTACCTTTCTTACAGCACACAAGGCTGTACTGTACCTTTCTTTCATCACACAATGATGTACTGTACCTTTCTTACATCACACAAGGCTGTACTGTACCTTCTTACATCACACAAGGCTGTACTGTACCTTTCTTACAGCACACAAGGCTGTACTGTACCTTTCTTTCATCACACAATGATGTACTGTACCTTTCTTACATCACACAAGGCTGTACTGTACCTTCTTACATCACACAAGGATGTACTGTACCTTTCTTACATGACACAAGGTTGTACTGTACCTTCTTACATCACACAAGGTTGTACTGTACCTTCTTACATCACACAAGGATGTACTGTACATTTGTGTATATAGACACGGATGTACAGTGTGCTTCTTCAGAAACACCCGACTGTACTGCTTGCTTGTTTCACCACCCACTGTCAGACAGTTCATCACAAGGTAACACAAATGGTTAAAACATGACCTATAAGGGGAAATAACTCTTCTAGATGTGCACTGACCCAGAAGTAGAAGATGATGCAGTGTTGTGCCTGAGCTGTGGCGTCTACAGTGCGTAAATGTTGCTTCTAGCCACAGACGTAAGTGTTGTTTCTAGCCACAGACGTAAGTGTTGTTTCTAGCCACAGACGTAAGTGTTGCTTCTTGCCACAAACGTAAATGTTGCATCTAGCCACAGACGTAAATGTTGCATCTAGCCACAGACTTAAGTGTTGCTTCTAGTTAC